TGGTCTTGTCGAGATCTGCGACTATCGTAACTTGTTTTGAAAAGCACTAATTAAATAATCATTCAGAATAAGAGAAGATATTTCGGTTCCGATTAAATCATTTACAAATATTCTCAGTGTAAAATGTAATGATCCTGTTGTTACTCTTGTATATTCCAAGCATATCACTAGCATGTATGGCTTATTTTTTCTTCTTTTCTTAAACCAATAACTATAAAATCTTCCGAATTCCAGTTTTCCATTAACTGCTTTTAAACATTTCGAATATAAATATATTCGTATTCAGAAGACTATATTTTACTGTAATGTGTGCTTAGTGTTGTCATGACATGCGATGCCGACGGGATAATATTCGTAGTGACCATTCCGAATAGAGACGTTCTCCTTTGGAACACACAAATTTGACCTCCAAGTCGCATATTGAGAAAAAACATTGTCTCGTCTATTATTATTTGATCAGACTGATATTTTTCTTATAAAGTCAACTCGTGTCAGGCCATACAATTACAATGAGTTGGTATGTCGTTCTTTCTTTTTCTGTCAGTTTCGCCAGTGTCGCATGTAATCTTCTGTCTTTTCTCTTTTGTTATATGAAAAAAGAAAGTAACTCGGCTATTTTTCATGCCTAGTTGTTTCTCAAGAGTCGAATGTTCCTATCGAAGAGATTCTTCTTTGAAAAGAGACACAAGTTTAAGTGACATCAACAAGCGATACATATTATAGCTTGGAAAATTTTCACACTACACTTCGAAAAAGCATCTTGACTTGGACTGAAAATTGGTTTCGAACGCAGTGTGCACTTATTTGAATGGTAAAACGAGCGAACTGTATGATCAATACTGATTGTGTACAGATATCTCAATACCAACAAACCTGCCGAGAAAGGACTGGTGCATTGGTTGGTGTAACATTGAAAACTGTCATGATTCAATGTTCGAGTAGACATAGAGCCATTGAGTAATCTATACAATAGAAGACGAACTAAAGTGCCTACCGTTTATAACAAGAAGGTAGGCAAATCATAAGACACGTTTCGCGACAGAATTGTTTTATTATACCTAGATGTATGATCAATATATTTATACATGCTTCAAACAAGATCTGCATCGAGAAATTTTCCTGTCTCTTACTCATGTCTAGCTAGTATTTGTTGGTATTAATATCATGGCAATTAAATTAGTTGGAAAAATCTTGCATCAAATTATAGAAGAGAATTCCTGAAATGCCAGAGCAAGACAGGTTAAAGCGAATATTTTGTAGGACAGGAGAGGATCAGTTGACCAAAATTTTTACAAAGTAGATTACAGTTGGTCACAAATGCATCTCAGACAGGCCTGTATATCTAATTGTTTAGTGAGAAAGTTGAGCTCACATCTTACAGACGTGTTCTTGTGATTCTACCTAGCTACAGTTCACCGATAGGTTGCTGATCTGGTCACCTCTGTGCACCAAATGCTTTCATTATTTCCTCCTCACATCAGACAAATTTGCATTTTTGATTTACAAACTATTGCAACAAACGTCAAACTTTTGTTTGGATGACTATTTGAATCTTACTACTAAGTACAGGTGCATATATGGACCACACTTAACAGTATATATTTTATATTAGAGATATATTCAAAGAAATATGTATTTATTTTCTCTTGAATTACTCTGTAGACGAGCACGGAAGTCGAGGACAATGAAGTACAATAGAATAAATAGATACATTTCCGTCAACCTAAATCTATTTTTCCTCTTTTCTGATTTGAGGAAGAAAAAGACAATAAGTTTGGACTAAATCTTCTATCCACTGTCTCATGACCAGTTCATCCAAACTTCCAGCAAAACATCGTACCTTTAGGATACGTAATGTCCAAAATAGCTAATTTTACATGCTAATTTTACAATCGATCGTAACTTTATCAAGAAAAGTCAAACATATAAATGTGTACATTTTTAGTTGCTACGTTACATATAAGTTTCGTGGTCTTATGGGTTACTAAGTTTCATTAACTATGAGCACAAGACGAAACTGACGTTAGAGAATGCCAGTCGTTCACTCATGAGCTTTCAATATAGTCCTGTCCACGCGATTTACACATAATTTATATATGAGCCCCATTCAAGATTCGAGTTCGCTTGAGAAAAACGGTTATTCTGAGTATCATCAATCATTTGATGGCGTCTAAATGCGCATACTAAATCTCTCGTACTAGCTTCTTCGTAAGCTGTTAGTCCAGCGAAATTTCTGATTGTTGAATCGGCTTGATGTGTCAGTAGTATTTCAACCACTTGGTCATGGCCGTAATATGATGCCGCGTGTAATGCTGTGCTCTTTCCCAGAGTAGTTTCTTCGAATTGGTTGATTTCATTAGCACTCATTGAAATAATCATGCGTTTTACCTCATCTATGCCATTATTTCGACAGGCCAGATAAAATTGACTCACTCTGGATAATTTCATCATTGATCGTCTAGAAACGAGTTTGATGGCATTTATATGTCAGTATCTTATTTTATGTCACTTGTAAAAAACCCATTGTTTTTCTTCCTTTTTTGTGAAAAAAGATAATATATATTGCGCATCATCCATGCGCCTTATGACTTGCAAACACTTATGAGATATCATATTGATAAAGATAGCAGTTAAAAAAGCTCTTACATAATACTAAGTCACAAGTGAAGAATTGAAAATATCACGCGATTTCGGTATTTATTTTTGAATAATTAAACATCTATGCGTTTGTCAAAAACGTTCCATGAAAAAAACGAGATATAGCAAAAACAGGTGAGTCAACAGATTTTGAATATGATCTCCTAGACATTTGGGTCTTATCCTAGCATACAATAGTCGACGACATCACGATCCAAAGATTTACTTGTAGTTCGCTAGGGTGGAGTGACCTGAGACACCCTCTAAAGATACCACTAAATAGTTTTTGAATTTGAACTATCATTGCTTTTGAATTTTTTCCTTGGAACTTGTTTGACTATTCAAGTTGAGTCATATACCAATTCCTGAAGCTTACCTTACTCTACAAAACTGTATATATGACATTACGGTATGATCTCGAAATAGAATAGAAGCAATTCAAACACCTTAGTCTTTTGACATTGCGCAAAGATTTACTTTTCTCTATGTTGGTCAATGTCCATTTTACGAAGTGATTAAAATAAAAAATACTGGTAACATGTTGTAGGCGATTCAATTCTGAATCGAATGATATATAACTCACTATTTGGAAATATTCTGAAGTCGGGATAGTTAAGCTCGAAAATTGAGTGCTGGGACCATAATTAGTTATTATGCATCACAGTGAGTATTCTATTCTTTTGCTATTCCCAAATTTTAACGTATTCGTATCAATCAAAAATCAAGCATGACATTTGAGTCATTTTGAAAGATTCAAATCACGATGCATACTAGAGTGTGAGTGTGAATGTGATTATGCTGTGTAGGGCGGATGTGACTGCCGGTACACTGTGTGGAGAGGGTATCAGTTAAGAAAACACTCACACCCAGCCACCTAGTCTCAATTCTATTCTCTCCTTGAGAAATCTTGAAAATATCTGTCAGGATCTTGCCAAGTTTTATTCAGGATCCTATCTCGAGCGCTATCCGTTCCTCTTTGAAGGGTTTCTTATCATTAAACAGCATCTTATTCAAGATTTGTTCAAGTTCCTGCCTAGCTTCTTTCTCAGTTAGCAACGAGAAATTCGACCAGGATTTACTCAAGATTCTACCTAGGATCCTCACATAAATAGAAAATAGAATTCTGTCAAGGTTTTATCAAGTTGTAATCAGGATATCTTCTGGACCATAACACGAGGATACAGTCAAGAATTGTAGCTAAATCAAAGGAGAGGAATTATAACAAGCATACAACATGAGGGGTGGGTGCAGGTTAAGATAAGATGAACTCACAGTCACACTCACACACATACCTACACACGCTTCACATTCACGTCTAACCTCTCAAAATCTTAAACATTTTCTGACTGCACATTTCTTTCAGTATTTCACAGTGTCCTGTGCCGATTCCAGACTTTAAACCTAGTGGTAGATAGTTCAGGATCCTGATTGAATCCTGTATTAATCCTTGTCAGATCCTCAAAGTTCCGTGGTTACACGTTTCGTTTAAGACTTTCCGGTTTCCTGATGATCTGGGTGTACATCGTCTTCTGACTCTTGAGGTGGGGGTGGATGTGGGAAAAAAGTACACCCACACCCGTGAAACATCTAATCAGGAAAAGGAATCGAGCTACGTCGAATGGAGAAAAGAAACTCTAAAAATATGGGTACGATAAATATTCTTTAATTTACTCATTCTAATGGTGAGTATCGTAAATCTCTATCATGGTTGAATCGAAAAATGTTACGAAACATGTTCAAGACTCTTCATTTATGACATTGATAAGACACTCGTCACACCTGACAGAAAATGAAAACACGAAATTGATCTGTCAATGACAAAGATCATATTAGTAGAGTGAAACGGTGCGCTGGATTTCAAGGAACAATGGAGTAAAAAACCGGAGGCATCAAATTCGCATTATTTCCGTATGCATGATTGTCTTAAAGTAAATTTCATCTTTCTAGAATAAACATACATAACTGATATGATGGTTGCTTGGTATTTGTTTCTTCTTTTCGCGACTTACACATTGGCGCAAGATGTATGTACGGACGATGTTTGTCATTATAACGGTCAATGTTATATACTCAATGGTACTAATAGTACGAATTCGAATATTACTCTTGAATGTCAATGTGAAAAATGTTTCGCGGGTGATCGATGCCAACTTAAGAATAACATTATTTCATTATCGCTTACATCGGCGATGCTAGCTGACATTCGAACTACTTACAAAATATCAGAGAGAACCACCAAACAAGTAGTTTTTGTATTTGTAGTTAGTCTCCTAGTAATAGTTTCTGTTATTAACAATTTACTAAGTTTACAAGTCTTTTTATTACCTGACGTAAGGAATAAGAAAAGAAAATCAATGCAAGGAGATAATATTTCTTTTTTGATACTGTATTCTGTGTGCTCATTGATTGTTGCCTTAGAATTACAATCACGTGTGATAATCATGTTATTTGATCGATATTCTTCTGTTGGTTACATATTTTATTCATGTAATATTGCACCAGTTCTTGGTACAATGCTAATTCATTTAGGACTATGGTTAAGTGTATCGATCACAGTTGAACGACTATTGTTCGATATCTTTTTTATTGAAGTCATAGGTACCTGCGCCCGAAGAAGAACTGTAATAATCATGATTATTATGACTGTGATTGTTTTTATTACGCATATTCACGAAATATTTGGACGACAAGCATTACCAGATCTCACTCAGCCTAATACTTTCGTATGTACATTCGATTATGACAAAAAATGGTTGAATGCACTAGATGATTGGTTATCCGCATTACAGTTAGCTTTACCATGCTTCATACATTTTATTTGTTTCATAATTACACTTTGGCGACTTAGTCGTGAACAAAGTGGCTTGTCATATTGTAAAATATCACTCGATGGACTTAAAGACAAGCGATTGTATTTGATACCACCAATACTGATTATCGTATGCTGTTTACCACATTTCGTATTTGCACATTTAATGTACAACTGTATTGAATTATCACAGCGCAGTTTTCTTCATTTACACATCGCTCTGAATTTATTTATTTTTATTCCACAGGCTGTTACATGTTTTATTTATGTACTGCCATCAACAGATTATATGGACTTTATGTGGAAAACAGCTGGAGGGCGATTGATAACGCGTCTGTTATGTCGTAAACGGAAATCCAAAAAACAAGCAAGAAAAGATATGGAATTATATGATACCTCAGGCAAACACTATAAAGAGACTGTTAAGACTAATTCTGAACGTTTTACGATTAACTTGTCGATTATATAGTTATTAATCTTATGCTGTCATCAAGCACTTCAAATATTGATCTTGATGAACAATTCATGTACCTCGATGAAAGGCGTGGATGTGAGTGTCAAGTGTCAGTGTGCGTGTGAGAGTGAATGTGGGTCGGCGTGGGTGTGGGATGTGGATGTGGCTGTGCATGTGGGATGGGGTGGGTGTGCGTGTGAGTTAAGAAGCCCTTTTGATCTACACACAAACCCGCAACGTGTTTCACATTTTAATTCTATAGGGATTGCACTAGCAGCTTTGTTTTGATGGGTGCGGCTTATAAGAATATTTAAATATAATCTTTAATTCTGATTCTACTAACTTTTTTCTCGTTATCTCTGTTCCAGTCTACCTTGATCCCTATTCAGTCCCGATCATGATTTATTTCCAAACATTTTAAAAAGAATATTTTGTTGTTTTTTTCGTTTTTAAATTACTTTCTTCATTTTTATATGTGAGTGTTAGCACGTAATATAGATAAAATATTTCATAATTGTGTGCCTTCATATATTTTGTCTATTTCTACCAGGTGTCGTTGCATTGTCTTTGTTTCTTCTCTTATATCATATCTATTAAAGTTATTATGCATCAAACACTGATAAGAAGTGAAAATCAAGTCATATAATCAGTAAAAAAAAAAGTGAAACAAGTATTACCTTCACAGTATATTAGAAAAATAAAAGAAGAAAATTATTGAAATATGTATTACAAGTTTATTGATTGTCTATTACAAATTGAACTCATTTATCAAACGAAGAAGTTAGATATATCTCTTGAGGTATATGTAATTGTATTACATAATACATTATGAAAATATAAAGACATAATTTGTATAATACGGAATATTCCAAAAGTCCGGTCGAAAAAGAGCGTGAATGTCTCTCTAATCAGTCAAGCAAAATACGCAAAGTATTCAGGGTGTGGGTGTGGCTGTGGCTGTGGTTGTGGTTGTGGGGTGTGGGTGTGAGTGTGGGTGTGGGTGTGGGTGGGGGTGGGTGTGGGGGTGGGTGTGGGTGGGGGGGGGGGGGGGGGTGTGGGGGGGGGGGGGGGGTNTTTGTTAAGTATCACTATTGATCTCAACAAAAAAAGCTTTACTTTTTGACAGATAGGAGAAAAAACAATATACTTAACAAAGGGTTTCTCTAGGCATGTCTTTATGGATATAAAGCTTGTACATGCCTCTGTTATTGGTAAAAAAATCAGCTCATTTGCTTGAGCTATAAAGGAGATATTCATTTTTTTTTTGAGTTAAGTGACTTTTGCACCCCCCTGTACATTGAAATTTCTTGAGATGGCAGAATTATTAGCACAAAACCTATAGTAAGATGTCAGGCCTTATGTGACTCAGACTTTATTAGTAGATTGTGCACTTGGTTCATGACTTCCGATCAAAAGCTTTTTCGTTATACTTTAGGCATAAAAAAAATTCTAAAACTGATTGCAATCGAATACTTCACTTCTGATAACGAGGAAACTTTTTTAGACGTTTGTTGTAGGTCAAGAGTCTTCCGCTTGTGCTCTCTCTATGAATTTTCGCATGGTAATTATTTACTTCAACGTATCAATATATGTTGAAGTTAGTATTGAGAATATGATAAACATACTTATTTTTCAATTCTGCAATATCTTAACCAAAAAAGTTTTTTGATTCATTTTTTGATTCCATATTTTATTTGGTGATCGATAGTTAAAAGTGCATCTGCACATGTGTTAGTCTAATCATTTGGAAAAATAATGTATAATAACTTTTAATCAAAATACTTGAATTTATATAAATTGTACACTGATCTAAAACACCAGAGCATCAGATTTCTAGGTATTTTTCTTTCAAAGACATGATTGATAATAAAAGCTTTAAGATAAACTTAGCTTCGGAACAATTCTAACTGATATCAAAGACTTGAAATTTTTTTCGCTCTTGAGCAGTGTTTTTTGATACGCTGAAGCTTTATGTATTATAAAAATAACTATTCAATGCTTAGTAATAGATATTTATATTACAATGATCAATGAAGTGAAATCGAGCAGTAAGATAATATTTCATGTAATCGTTGAACATCTGTACTAATTGATGTAGCTAGATGTTCAAAATGCTCTTTTCGATGTGACATACATGCATCACATGTTGAACTTATTATAAATTCTGAAATACAAAACAAATTGAAGTATGAATGTCATATGTACTATGTTCGATTATTTAAGAAGCACATTCATTCTGTTTATTTTTATACTTATATTAATTTAACTTACTTCATTTGAGAAATATTGTCTTCAATTAGTTTCCGAATAACAACATAGGAGTTTCTTGTTTTATTATCACACCAATAATATATGTCAGCAGCTTTGTGATAGAATGTTAAAGCCATTTTTAACTTTTTATCTTCTTGATAAATTCGACCAATGTCTTCATATAAAGAGCCTACTTCAAAATCTTTCCAAATCGAAAATCGTTGATATATCAAGAGTACTGTATATTGACAAGCATACGCTTTATTAAACTCATGTTTATGACGAAACAATTCACCCAGATTTTTCAATAATGGAACAATTTTGAAAGGCAAATATCTCCATCGTGTATATTTAAATGTCGAAGCCCATTTGTCTAACTCAGCTACCGCATCGTTAAAGTATTTTAATGCATTATCATGGTTCCTATTTACGTCAGAAATCGTATAAATTTTTCCAATAGTAATATAACATTCAACAATATCTAGGCTTGGTTTTTTATGATACTGTGTAAATAGACGCAAGGCTTCTATATGGTTTTTAAATATCCTTGTTTCGTCCTTCTCAGAAAAGTATGTGTTGGCTAATGCATATGTGATTCTTGCTCTGAAGAGACCATCATCTCCTAAGAAGGACATATCAATTAATGGATCGCAGGATCTGATTGTAGTTAAAATGACATTTTGTGATTCTTTATTCACATTCATTGTTGTGTTGTTCTTTTCATCATTCTTTTCGTGATTATCTGTACCCAGTGCATGTATATAATATTTTCTGGCTATTCTGAAATCGTATCTTTTATATGCCACATTGCCCAAACCATAGTAAAAATATTTTTTCAATGAATCATATCTTGCAAAATATTTATTTAATAATTTATCATAATATTTTTCAGCTTCATCTAGTCGACCTGTTTGCATCATTAAACGAGCGAGTGAAGCTTGGTTTGTTTTCAGATGTTCATTGTTTAGCCAAAAGTTAACAATTTCACCGAATTCAAATACTATAATATCTAATGATGCTAGTTTCAACTGAATAGAATATGAATCGTCGTCCATATTTGATTTCGAACAATGCTCAACTTTGAATATTGTACCTGGTGGAAACAAGATTCGATTTTCATCTTGAAAATAGTAATAGTTTATCTTCTGTTGAACATTGGCATCCTCTACACCATAATTCTCAAGTGCATTAATTTGAAAACGAACCTTTTTGAAGTATCGTGGTATCATAATGGAATCATTATCAGTTGAACAGACTGCTGTACGTTTTTCATCTAAATTCATTGACCAAAATACATTGATTGATACTAAATGTGTTTTTCGAATTCATCATTTCTTCAATTTGATTAGATGGAATCAATCGAGTGTCATAAAACATTCGATATGAATGGACTCTTTTCTCTTTCACTTGTAACTTCACATAATTTGATTTGATCTGTTGAAATAGATCAAATATGAAAAATCGAAAAAGACTGATCAATTCGAATTTTTTTCGGCACAATGCGTTATTTAGTGTTTCTTTTATTGATTTCATTTTGTCGTAATATTCAATTGCATTTGTTGGAATATAATCATCACTAAAGTAATCGATTGTGTTCGAATTACGATCGTTGGGATTGTAGAATGTTCGAAGTTTTGTAATAAGTTCTTTTTTTTCCTGCTCTGCTGTCAATTTGGAAAATAGTCCTTCCATACGAAAGAATGTTATGGCAAAATTATACATCCATATGAGACGATCACTTGACTCCAACGCATTGATGGCATGGATATTTCCTTCAGATTTGTAAATATTGAAAAATAGTCGTTTTTCTAAATGCTTTTGATATTGAGCAAGTTCGTCGTAAAATGTCAGTAATAAGTCATTCTTCGCAATATTTTTGTGTTGTACCTAAAGTAGATTTTCTTGAATGTGCAATTGTCACATTTTGAAGTTTTGGTAAAAATTGTCTTTGAAAAGCTATTAACCTAACTAATGTTGTCAATCGTTCATTTTTTTTTGCACGCAATACATCATCTCTGTGCACACATCTATCGGGCTTCTATGCTCACAAGTTATTAGCTAATATGATGAATCTTCATCAATGAGATTCTCAGTAAAAATATAAGATCCAGATTGAGTAAGCTCAAGAATGTAAATTGCACGGTTTTTTTGCTATTTTGATAGTAAATCTATTATGAATCAGAGAAGTGTATGGATGTGGATGTATCCCGTGTGAATACAATACATCCACCCATATCATCGGAAAGAATAAATTACAGAGATAAATTTTCTCAAATGAAAATTGTTCAAATCTGTTTCATTTAAACTCTAAATGATTTGTCTCTGCATGTGATCTAGAACGAATGTCTTCCATATCATTATAATCGTTACGAACGAGATGAGTAAAGGAAACAATGAGCTCATATAGTTGCAACTAAAACTACTACATGAATAAATCAAACGTTGTCTCTTACCTTCCAATACATTGGATATATGTTTTTACTTTCGCTTTGGTTATTCGAATAAACATAAATTGCAATGAGCTGTGTTAAGTTGTGCACAACTGGTATGATGGCACTACTGACGCTGCTAGCTACAAATAAAATGAATTCTTGATCAATCGTCAAGTGTCGAATATGTGCTTCACATTTGTTGTATTCGTTAAACATTTGTAACAGTCCATTAAAATCGCTATATTTCTTTTGATATTCGGTCACTTGAATATGAGGATCCAGCCAAATAATTAATAAATTGTCTTCATTAGGATCAATATGAAGATCATAATGTTGTATGTTTCGACTATTGGAAACACTGTCCGTTAATATTTGGTTAGACCCGTGTATACTACAAGCTTCAAGTTCAAAATTATTTTGAACAGGACTTTTTACATTTTTTCGTTTGGCAAAAATATTTCCAATAGTTCTTTTTGGTTTTCTACTGGCTAGAAGCGGTTTCTCCGTGAGATCCATTAATATTCTTCTATGCATAAGAGAACACGATTTTTTTTTAAATCTAGAAATAAAAAACAATTTCTTTTATTTAATAATTTTACTACACAAGAAATACCATATACGGTTATTTTAATCACGACATGTCTTTTGTTTGCTTTACTCGTATTATTATTGAAGAATACTATGAGTGTGTGTCACTCGAATAAGTATACCTATTCCTACATCCATGTCCTTGCTTATTGTCCAGCAAGATAACTCTATAATTAATGATGATGACGTGTCATCGTCATGACTGTGAACATTTTCATTATTCGAATTAATTTTAGAATGAGAATATTATCAGAAAGTACAGTCTCATAGTCGATAACTGACCTTAAAATCATTTCAATATAAAGAGATCTTTAGGATTGAACATAGATATTTATCAGTAATATGCTTTTTTAAGACAAAAAATCGAATTTGAAATTTCGACTTAAGTTTTGATATTTTCAAAAGAATGATGTATTACGAGTTTATTTTCATTTTCAAAAAATTCAATATTAAAATTCAAAATTCAAAATATTCAAGCAAGTTCGTATGCCTACAAGAAATCTATTTTTTGTTCCACACGTTTCGATACTAAAGACATAGTGCGATTAGTGATCATAAATGAAGACATGCTCGGTAAAAATTCTTCATTTAGTAGTTGGCAGTACTCTAATCGTATATGATTCGTCATAAAGAAAAGAATATTTTGTGTATTGATTATAATAAAAATATATTCTATAAAGACTACGTGCATGAAAAATAAGTTAAATTTAAACTCACTACTCTATGAAATTATTGTAATATTAAAAAGCTTAGTCAATTATGTTAAAATTCATATTTGATAGAGTAATTATAATGTTTTTTCCACTTTGTTAATTATCTACTTGTGCGTTGAATCGTTCGTTTGATATTTTTCTTGTTCGTCGTTTCGCTTCATACGGTTAATAACATCATGCCAATATTCATTAGCGATGGACCGTTCGAACGATGAGCTGTCATATATTTCCATTGATTTTTGCACTATTAAACGAAAACCAAAATAGAAATTTTAGATAAATAAGTAGAAATAAATAAAGAAAAAAAACATTTGTTCTGTTTACCAAATGGATCAAGAACTTGATATTCATTGATCACAGGCAAGCAATCGTATCGCAACCAGCGGAGAAATTTAGAATTACTTGCTATAAAAAAAACTCTATAATTTATAATTTTCTATGTCACCATAACTTACCGTAACCAGTTGGCACAACTCGAAAATTCATTGCAATTCGTTTATTTTTAAAAATTTTAAATGGAATATCAGTAGCCTCATGAGGCTCATACTCAAAATCACTATAATATTGATCGCCATCTACAATAATTGGATTTCCAGCTCCTAATGAAAATCGTATAGCCAGATATTGGTCTTTTTTAATTTCCATGTTGAGATCAGAGAATGTTTGTATGCCAGTCTTTTTCTTTATATTTTGCAATCGTTTATATCGAACAATATCGAATTCGTTCCCCATGCTTCCAGCTTTCATTACAAATAGCCATATTTCAGGTTTGTTAACGGTGGGCGCTGTTGAAAAATGAACTGAAACTTTGTTGATAAAACCATCTATTTTGACTTGATCTTTACTACTGAATGAAATAAAATTATGAATAGCCCAGCTTGATTTATTATTAATGAAAAGGGGACCATATATAATAGCTAAAAATAATTTTATTTCAAATTTCTGTCAATTCAACACAAATAAATAAACTAACCGTTTGCCTCATTTTGACATCGAGTAATGAGATACTGTAAACATAATGTCAAATGTTGCAAAACATTCAATGGTGGAAAGCCTGTGGATTTCTTCGAATACTCCTGAACAAGAAGAAATCGTTGGTAAGCATGACTATTGTCAGCGTTGTCTTTCATATCATCGAACGATTTACTAAAGATACAAATAAATAACATGAATATACGGAATTCACTTAAAGTCGCTAATATAGTAAAAAAAATAAGAGACAGACTCTAAACAAAAGAATCTTCATAGAGTAAATGAATTTTTCAATAAAAAAGGAGTCCAATAATACAAAATACCAATTTATTAAAATTCATGATAAACTTTCATCAATCAATCTTAACTTGAAATTTCGAATGTACGCAGAAATGTATGTGAAATCGAAGAGATAGAAATGAACAAAAGTTTAGATCAATTGACCAATTGTTTCCTTAGTTAACTTCATTGAGTTATGTAAGAAAGAAAAGTTCTGTTTCAAGTACGAGCTTGGAACTTACTAATACATGCGATTACTATCAGGTTCATTAGATAACAATGAGACATGGTAAAATACTACTGAAATTATAAATTCATTTTTTCGTTATCAACAAATATACAGAATTTAGATAATAAAACGACTTAAATGCTGATTATCTGATAATTCTTGTCAAGAACTTCACAAACTTCTTAGTTCACTATTTCTTATGATGTTTGGAATCAGTGTCAAAAGAAGCTAACTTAGTCTATCTATGAGTTAAAGAATTTATGAAATCTATTCTTTTTTTTTTGTCGAACAACTTCTCTGCTAAATCTTGCTTTCTTCTTCTGGATATCGACCATTGCGTTATGTTCTAAGTATTAATAAAAAAACATAGAAAATTAAACACCTAGGGTAGTATGCTAAGAAGTTTTTAAGAGTTTAGAAACTTGTTGAGTTTGAGAGGATATATTATTTTCAAGTTTTTGACAAGAATTATCAGATAATCAATATTTAAGTCGTCTTATTATTTAAATTCCGTATATACATTGATAGAGAAAAAATGAATTCATAATTTCAGTAGTATTTTACCATGTCTAATTGCTATCTAATGAAACTGGTAGTAATCGTATGTATTAGTAGAAGAATAATGAAACCTCCATGAACCAGTTTCAAAATGCAGTTTTCAATATGTTTACTTCTATAGTATATGATCTAATAGAATTAGCAGTCAAAAGTACTGTTAGACTAATTTCAACTTTCAGATGATGTTATCCTTGCTTAGCATGTCTAATATGTTGTCAATTAGTATCTTGTAGTTTTCAATCTTTTCTTTCATTTGTTTTTAATTAATTATGAGTCATTTCTATAGTACTCAATTATACTCATGACTTATCTAAAATTTCTAATTTTAACCAGCATTCGAAATTTTGTTTCTTTTTGAAACGTACAGAGTTTAGGAGCTCGTTTTTTATATTTTGAATATAATTTAGGTTTTCAGTAGATAATAAACGATCTTTAGCATTGATGGCAAATAGATTTTTGAGTTTTAATGGTCTTAAATATTAGGATTTTCTCTTCTTATTTTCTTTTGCTGGTGAGATAGTTAGTTTCTGAAAGTGTAAATCATTAAAAGTCAAAGGATTAGAAGGAACCCATTCCTACTGCGTTTGCTTCGAAGAAAAGATTTGCCAAGATTTTGTCGATTTCGAATGAATTTTTTGTGTTACAATACGCTTGAATCCTCTTATGTTTCCTCTAACGAAGATGTAATTATTTCAAGATCTTATTGTTGTAATATTCTGAAAAATTATGAAGTATAGTAATCGTCTAATACTTACTTGAACAAAGCGACAAGAACATTTAAGAGAAGAAGATTTGCGATGCAAACAAAGATGATTGTTAAAATATATGTCATATTTCCATATGCATCGTCGTCAGCTAGAATCAATATGAACAAAAGGGATGATGATGTATCGATTATTGATTTTGACAAAATTAATACCGTTTAGTGTAATATTATCAACTGTTTTTTGGTCTAGGATTTCAACCTGTCCATAAACCTTCCACATTCCCCAATCGATAATGTTTCTAATAAGAGTCGGAATGTTTGGGGAAACTTTTTCATCATTTTTATCTTGACCTTGTAAGCTAAATGCTGTGGAATAGTTGTTGGTAGCATTATTCTGAGTAATTTCATACATGGATGGTTCATTTATTGCGACGGTTTGATTTTCAGTCATATTGAACTGATTAACGGTAGACGTAATTCTATTATTTTCTTCAATTTGTTTTTTTGTCATCATCAATGAATATGATGTAATTGAATAGGCGATCAAAAATATAAATATGAATATAGGAAAGATGAGTAAATCTTGTGCCTAGAAAAGACAAACATGCAAAGAATATTTTTTTTATTTAGTAAAAATAATGAAGCAGTTTTTTTTTCAACATATCCTTACAGCCTTGAATATCATCAATAATTTAATACTACATCGTTTGGACGCCGTAAAAAGTTGTAAGATTCGAACATACCATAAAGAATGCGTAATACTTATGGAAATTCTGCAAAATAATGATGGATTTCGTCATAGTTTTCAACAATGAAGAGAGATAGTTACTTTTGATAAGGAAACCAATTCTTGCCGAACAAAGCGATGACTAGACTACCAAGATAACAACATATCGCAATCAGATCGACAGCATTCCAATAATTATGTGTGATATATTTCACGAATACTCGACCTTTTTCATATGTATTTCTCTCTTTGTAATACAAAATCATCTAAATGGACAGAAAACTCTTAATATCGATTTTTTTACTATTAAAACAGCACTTCACTATAATATAGTGCACGATAAGCAATCAAATTCTTAAATTTGTATCGCATCATTCTATTTTTTGTTTGTGTATGCTTATTAATAGTTTATGAATATTTTTCAATTAAATATTTATTTGGAAATATGGAGCCTATGATAAAAAAATTCAAAGAAAACAGAACTACGACAAGTACAAGCAAAGCGATTAAAAGTATTTTACTTGTACTTAATTACAGAAAAAAGTATTTATTTTGTATTTATACCTGATATACAAACGTAAAATATGATCTGTAATAGTAATGACATTAATAAACTTTTTCAGAACAGTTGTGACACTATATTTACTAAGAAGTTTGATGAAAATGAGATTCTAATTTGACTGCCATTGCCTATGCTAGTGAAGTCACCATAGGATTCTTGTGAAAGTCACTTTGAAATACGGGCGAAAATTTTCAAAATGTTGTACAGTTGTCACATGCATGTGCCTTTTTTACTTTTTTTTCTTTCAAATATTCACTAACTGAACTTTACAATACTTCACTATGATACGTTATCGTTTAGCTTTTTCACTATGCTCAAGTCAAATTAAGATCATTTGAAAATATAACTTGGAACGCATGATCATAAGTGCCAGAAAGTGATCATGGAGCTAGACCTCAGCATTGGAAAATCGTCATTGTCTATTGATTGTCATGATGTTTTTTCTAGTAACTCTGAAGCGCAAAGAAAAACTCAAAATAAAATGCCATTCCACAAAAAGCGAGTCGTTTCTTAACGTAATACTTTGAGTTCGTGTTTTGTGTAACTTGTACTACATTCTTTAATAGTTCTGTTCGAAGAGCATGTAGCTAGCGATGTGCGATGGTGCGCGTTTCTGTTTCAATGGCTCCGTTATGTTACTGAAATCAAAATCTGAAATTTATGAGAACTGTAAAATTTTCAGTTTTCTCAAAAATACTTCTAAGATTTAGCTAAAAGAATTACTTTCTCAACACAAATCGTTCTTACCGATAATATAATTAGCTTGATTATCATAAATCAAAAGAAAAACCTTTGTTTCAAATACTTAGTTCAAACATCATAAATTCATAGTTTACTTGCAAAGAAATAATCACTATTTTAACCGCATATGCAAATTTCACTATCTCTTAATTTGAATCTTGGCTCCATTACTTTCTTGAATATTTAATTAATCGAAAATTTAATAACTAGTAATGTTCTAACGATCAGAACGAATAGCTAATATAAAAAAATCCAACTAGAAATAGATCTCTCATTAAAATTAAGACGATTAATTATTCAATACAAACGTAGTCAGTGAACAAAGTGAAATTTACCTGAAATATTTCATCAAAGATTATCCCAAACATACAAATATGAAATAATATTTCTTTCCACGACATATCAAAAAGTTTCTTTATATTACCATTGCTTGGTAAATAGTCTTGAAGCAGAACAGAACTGAACAAGAATAGAAAAATAGCCGTAAAGAACTAAAATTAGACAGTTATTATCGAAAAAGGTGATTGAAACTCGAATGATTCCATCAATGTGTATTTTTATTATACTCACAATATGTTGTAGAAATCGAACCTGTGGTCTCTTGCAACATTGTACTATAGGATAAAGTGAATTGATAAAATTCGTTAGACATCTCTAAAATAGTAAATATAAATATTTAAATAGATCTCATTTCGTATTTGAGTGCATATATATCACTTGCCGGTTGAGCACAAGTCCATATTGAATAATATATGTCATGCATGAAAACGCCACGCCATTTTCTGTCAAGATAGGTTTGTACACATTTAGTCCCCAAAAATGAATGGCTACCATTTTCTTCGGCCAATCCCAAGGCACTATATCCAAAATAAAGTTCAGAATTCGACATTAATATGTGATTTGTCATATCTTCATTTTTATTAAAACACAGATTTATAATGTTTGCTGCATGATCATCAAATATTCTAAATGAAATGTTTTCAAATACGCGACTTTTGACATTATTAAAAAGAAAAGAGTATTACATACTTCTCTCGTGTTTTATAAACGAGTTGTTTTTCAGCCATTTTCTCTGATTCGGCGGCTATTTGATAAATTTTACTAATCAAAAGTGATGCTACAATCGTGTGCTAGAATAGTATTATATAAATCGATCACTCTATTGATATCATATTCAAACTATTTACAGCTACCTCGGTTTTTGAACAGAAAAATACTGTTAGATCTAAACGATCCATTAGTGTTGACCACAGTAATAATTCTCGAATAAAACCTAGAATATTTAAATCATTTTTATTAATTTATTTTATGCAAATGATCACACACTAGATGTTGGTTGTATTTTAAAAGTGAATCCAATAGAAAAATTTGCTTCTCTTACAAATCCGATCTCATTTCCGGTTAAGTATGCGTCATCGGCAGAATTCATATCAACATAATATTGTGAATTGCCTTCAACTCGATATATTGTACCAGATATTTCATGATAACCAACAGCAAGATATTGACCACTTTCTAAGTAAATAGGTGAGCCTTTTATAGAGAAAGAGTAAGTAATGGGTTTGACCATTGTGCTACTAGTATTCGTGTTCCCGTTTGACGTAGTAGGTCTTATTTCTACTGAATGCCGATGGATGACGTTGAATATATCTGTTTTCCATGTTGCCGATATAATGTATAAATATACAAATGTTTCATGTTTCACTAATTTCATTGATGTATGTAAGTCGACAGATCCTTCGATAACATAACCACTAATTTGAATACTATCATTCAGAGAGAGCATCACCATGGCGTCCCTCTGTTCATCTCTAGGCTCCATTTTATAAATAATACCATAATTATGATCTATTGGAAATAAACTTTAGTCCATTGCTACACAGAAGTCTTCAATACAGTTCTCATGAGATTGTAATAAAAAAAATATAAGGAAAAATTCATGATTGTTTCTATTCACTTTATCTTATCGTATTTCCATTTAGTTGATAACAGTTTGGACTGAATCATTCTGAATCACTTTAACAAAAATGCTTCCGGTAATCTTTATGGAAAAAGAACATTTTCCTTATCTAATAACTCATTATTGGTAGGATATCCCAATTATACAGTTTTCCGCCCTTTCATTTGGTAAAAATTTTGTTAATAGTACTATTCAAAATCATAGAGTTATCCCCTTGGAAAAACATTTTTCCCACCTAGTGTGTTATTGAACTCTATGATTAGTCGAAAAAATCCAACTTTTCTGATTTGGATACAACCGAATTCTCAGATACAGTTTACATTGGCAATAGCAAAATGTGCTCTAGAGTTCTCAAAATACTTCACAGAGGGAGATATATTTGTTTATCTCAATAACTTCAAACTTTACAACAGATTTTTTTAGCATATTAATGAAACAAGTTGCCGAAAGAAAATTTGTCAAAATTGTGTTTCAATTTTTCTATTTAATAGTGATAGTTGCTCGCGAAAACGAAAAATCTTATATGATTTAGTACAAATCGTAGCGCTGAAGCATTTAACAAACCTTGGAAATTCGAATTCAAATCGTTCTTTTTTCGTATAAAACAGGCTGCATAATATTTTCTTAAAACATCGTTCTCTTTAGTGACAATAGAATCTACACCTGCTTGGCCATTTTTATTGATGATAGGAAGCATTGCTTGTCGGTCGTTTTCATTCTGATGCATATTAAAAACATTCAAAAATAACCTTAATTGGAGTGAACTTTGTCTTACCAGGTTTTCATATAAGTCATCGACAGTGCTTACTCGACGTAGTCTTTCAAGCAATATATCATTTTCTATGAATAATTCAATGAAAGGTATATAGTTTCGTTGTATTGCAAACATTAATGGCTTATCTAATTCTAATGATGGCCAATCCGGAAAACTTCGCTTTTCGGATACATATTGTTTTATGCGTTCATATTTTTTACATGCAGTAGCCAATATGAGATTGCTTGCTTTTTTTTCGCATGTATTATGAACTATTGAAATAGCTTTGATACAGTACATAGAAAATGAAAATTTAAAATAAAATGCTAAACCAATATTAACTTACCATTGTGATGTGCATTCAATATAGCCTCATCCAGTGCACACTCTGATTGACGTTCAGACAATTGAAACAAATTGAATAAGAAATAACCTTCTCTGGATTTCATCATTGTAATGAACTCTTTTCTCATTCTGAAAAGTTTTTGTAAGAAGACTATTGGCTTATGAATGATTGTCTATGAAAAGACCCAATATACCATATGCTGAAACTTTTCTCATGATGAATGATAATCGATAGGACGTCAAATTTTAAAGAGAATATCAGTGTTTCTTTTGGTTTCCAAATTTCAAATTAGCTCATAAACCAGAAATCTATTTAGAATCTAACATAACGAGATAAGTTACGAAAATTTGAAAACTATCGAAGCTAGAACACTAACATGTTTATCAAGACTGATGAATATTGAGAATTCGATAAACGGAATCTCTTTCTTATAATTGATAATAGCTTGAATTAATTTCGATTGAAAAAATTTGTAGCCCGATAGAATCGTATGAATATTAATTGAAAAGATATTCTAATACTAGATCGAAGATATTTAAACACTTGTATTATTGTAACTTTATCCCTAATGTACTGAACATTTGGATGTCTATGAACCAAAACTTTTTGACATTTTTCATCATGGACTAAATGTTAGCAGAACGAGACGATATACAATTTGCTTTTCTCCTCTCTCTGATACAGATGTATTAGAAATGACTACCAAATGTTCTACTTTTCGAAAAATCTCGTAGCATATCTGAAAAATTGTCCCGCACTTCCTTGAAAAATCAGAACTCTTAAATTTATTGTTTATCTCATTTAATAATTATTACACAACGATTTGTATCTTCAATAAACGTTTTTCTTTCTTAATAAATTTTTAAAAGAACTTGAAGACATAAGACTGAGTAAGTTGAATGAATTTACCATTTTGAATGAAATACTTCGAACTATTTATCTAAACTTTATCCACTAACTCAAAAATTGTTGGAACAAACATAGACACAATGCGTGATTTAGCAATGATTATTGCAAATTATTTGCATCTGAAAACTTTTCATGATTTTAAAATATTTCAATAGATTGTTCATGATTATTTACCGTATCAATTTAGTTCTTCCTCGACCAAAATATTCTCGTGCGTCGCTACAAAATAAACAATGGCACATCAAAGATTTCGAGTACAAAGTTCCAACAATTAGTTTGACATACTAATCTGTAAATTGATTTTGTTCACTAGCATGACTGTAATTCTCTTCTGATTGATTTTGATCTTCACCATATAAATAGCGGTATTCGTCAGTAACCAAATCTGCTGTTCCACCAGTGCCCTAAAATACTTATATAACAAATATCTTGAGTTCGACCAGGAATATATGGAATTACTGTGATGACAATAACTGGTATTTTCCGTCTAGTTGCTTCGTAAACACCCAAAATTGATGAATCACTGCCACCCAATAGAATTTGAACGGTTGGAATGGAATAGGCTGTATTTAAAAACAAATATTTATTATGTGTATGTATTTTATCGTCGAACATAAATTTTTACGATTTTCGTAGCAGAGATAGAATATTTTTGAAAGACAAGTACTTTTAAATGATTTTCTGGTTGAAAAGCGATGGACTCTGATATAGATATGAGCAATCGAAGATAATTTCAAAAATACAACGCAATATTGAACACTCACATGTGACAACTCCGTGATGACCAGTATTTGGTGTAGGATACGAGAGATCTGTTAGTGGTTTTCATTCATGTTGAATTATATGATTAACCTTGTAAAGATACCGACAACATCTGTTCTCGATGTTTCAATTGAGAGTCTCCCGCAGGCGCTCCCTGATGAATAAAAACGCCTGCATTAACAATCTGAGCTGTCTAAAACTAGTCAAACTCAGTATTTTTTTCATATATTTATTTCTGAAAACAAATTAACATCCCTTTTATATGAATTGAGTAGTCAAATTCTTGAACAAATATAAAAACAAAATAAGTTGTAAACTCTATTTTTCCACAAGATTGTCATATATGACTTCAATTGTTCAAGCAGCAGCTATCCCCGACTAGATATAATCAAACGTAGAAATTTCAAATCGACTTAAACCTTCGATTAGTAGGGAACAAGTGCTGAAATAAATCTCCGAAATTTTCTGTAGTATTTCGTCTTTTTATCAAATATCTTACGCTGTCCATATTTTGTAGTTTTTTCTAATTTTTTGGTGATCTTTATTCGTAGTCTTACGAGCCAGTCAGTTTCAACTTGAGAATCGACTGAAGTAATTGAATAGAAATTAGGATGAAACATAAGAAAATGAGTATGATTATAATCCAATGGCGACTCTGTTCGTTGTGGTTCATCTGGTTGTGGTTGTGACGAGTAAAGTCGCTCACGCTCCTAAACATAAATCATAGGTAGTTTCAATGATGGAACAAAATTAAATAATGTTTTCTTTTACAGCAAAGGCTAGCTAAAAGTGAGCATTTCTCTCAAACGAATCTGTGGCTATCAGCAATAAGCTAGAAAAAGAAGAAAAGACCAAATTCTAGTATAATTCAAGTTCTGTCTACACGCTTACACACTGGAAATCTAAAGCAGAAAGAATTTTCCGGAAACATTCTACAAATTTTTGAAAAGATTATTATTCTTTAAGATTTTTTTTTAGTAAACATCCGCCGTACGAATAAATCATTTCCTCAAAGTTATTTAGTTATAATCATTTCTCATCCTAGAAAGTATGAAATTGACGAAAGTAGCAGGAAAATGAAATAGTCTGTTAGATTATCTGTATAAACCAAATTTATTCAAACAAAACTATTTGAAGTTCAGTAAGAAAAGCTGTTAGCACAATCCCTTGCGGGATTAAAAATGTGAAACACGATGGACCTATTCTTACTAATAAAATGGAAATCCTGTTGTTCCATTTCCTCACGACACATTTGTAGCTGACCGTATATCTGATGCATTACAACTACAATTTCTGTGTCACGGTCTGTGGGGGGAGGGGGGTGCAAAATTTCTAACCTAAACACTTCAACACTCCTTTCAGATCGTGTTTCACAAAAAACCGACAAATAGAACGCATGTACCATTGATTATTTATGATTCATGCTCAAAAATCACTTACCGAATCAGTTCCTGCAATAGACAATTGTTCCAACTGTTTTTTGTCTATACATATACGGTAAACAAATGAAAAGTATATAAAATAAAGAGAAAAGTATACCTTTTACTGAATTCCAGTTGGTAATGCCGATAAGTTGAATATTCTGTATTGATTTTATGTTCTTATACCGCAGCTCATTTAATGCTAGACCTACTTCTTTTGCTGCTCCCAAATGCAAACCATCAGTAATTATCCAAGCATCTTCAATTAAATAAAATTTTGATATACAATTTAAGATTATCTGTAAAAAAATATTCCTATACTTGTATTTAGCACAATCGACATTATGCCTTGTTGAAATAATTTGCGTGTGTGAGTCGATACACTTTTAAAATATTCCTTTCCACCTTCTATTGATATAATCAACTCGGGTTGTGATCCTTTTTGTATCTTGGGTAAAAAGTCATAAAATCTATTTTCCACATTCCGTACATTCATATCAGCATTGGTAGCGTTATGATGGTCTTCAACTAGATGTCTATAGTCTTCGAATTGAACGTACTACAAGAACATAGAACATGTAAAATTTAGAAAAGTGGTCAGTATCATCTCTTTGAAATTGAAATGTGAAACATAATGTAATCACTTGGATCGCATATTAAGACTTTCTCTATATTGATAATGACTCATGATATCATCAAAGACAAAACTTATTATTACTATTGGAACAATTCAGTAATTTGAATCAACAGTGCACATCATAATTTGAAAGAGAAAAGAAAGATATGGCTAAATTTTGTGATTTAAAATCCGTTAAAAAATCTCACTCGTGTTGAAATTCTAAAGAATCGTGACAAAATAATACAAAATAACATATTGACATAAGATTTGGTAGTCATGAAGGAGAAGGAAGTTTTTTTAGGATTTCACACTCGTTAATTTGCTGTATCTTTTTCTGTAAACTTACACATCTAATCTGAAAAATGTCATCAACAATTCAATTCTATCGATTTGCCTGTCTCTCTGAGACATACCTTGTAAGAGTCAATGGCATGGTCAGAAGTTTGAAATAATACTCAATCATTTTGCAGTCAAACCGCTTCCGTGAATGAGTGTCCATGAGGATTAATCGTCGTTATTTGCATAAAATTTATAGAGAAAAAGAATAGCTTTCTGAGAGATAGGTAATTGCTCAATGGCTAGCGACTAGCGTCTACGGTAGTCTACGATTTATTTCTTTTCTAGTTATTTCATTTTGCAGTTTATAATACAGAATAATGGATGAATATCGAAGCATACAAAGAGAAAGTGACAAATGTTCATCCACATTAATATTGTGAAAGACTTGTTCATAAATAATTTCTATTTTTTTAACCGATAAACTTTATGGTTTAATTAACTTTTATACGGATATTTTCATACTCAGAGTTCCTAATCATTATTCTTGCCCATCTATTTTATTACAACAAGTTGTTCTAAAGATTTTGATGTTATTTAATGCCTAACATAAATGAAGAAAAAATGAAGATTTCAAGAAGTCTTGTTATATGGTATATCATGTTGTCTTACTTGTAACTACCATGGCTCACTGCTTCTCTCTCTCTTTTACATTTGTATCTATTATCAGAAATTTTTCTTTAGTGTTTTGATCTTTTTTTTTAAAGTAAATAAAACAAGGACCATTTACTGCATCTATGTTTGATATAATGAGTTAATACTGAATAGGAAATGCTTTTCAACATTTTTGTAACGGATGAATGTGATTAACTAGTTAGTTCATCGACAAAAAAAAATAAATAATTTATTGTATCTTAATTTGTATCTAAACGAATGTTTTCACGAAGCAGACTTACGTATGATTGACGATGATTTTCTGAAAAATGTATTTTCCCATAATTGTTAGTTAAAGTGAATCTAAGTCGTGTTGGTGGTCTAGAAATAGTATATCATTGATGTACATCTTTTAGCAACAGTATTGATATTAAAAAAAATGCTAAGAACAGCCTAACCGAAGACAAACTAAATAATATACATACAGATTGTTTTCTTCTATCACTTCATTTGGATTTTGCATTCGCTGAAAAGAAAACCAAATTACCGCATCATTTTGTATCGAATATCATATACCTGGTTGTTCATTCTTTCAATTAAGTCGTCTACGGAAAGTGTCATTTCCTCCATAATATTCATAATCTACAAAATAAATTACAAATGCACTTAGTGGGCATACCTCAAAGTCAAAACTCTTTGTTTTGTTTGAGTTTTGGTTTTAATACATGACCAGCTCTTAGATGTTCTTGGTTATGAACATTTATTAAGATAGTATCTGCAATAAGTCCAGATTTTGTTAACCGCGAGAGCCTTCCGTGGAACTAGGACTATATCAAGAATACGGTTACTTTGGAAAGTAGATATCTTTGTTGTCACATATTTAGATTCTTTAGATTTGACTTTCAAAATATAAATCTTATGGTATCAATATAAATGGAGGAATAAGAAATAAAAATCAATACCTCAGTGTCTTTCAAATACAAAGAAAAAAAACCGGTTTTTATTTGGAATCGCAAGGACACATACAAAGAGCTTCATGTTTGTTATCTTTCTTTTCAATTCAAAATTGTTTAAACAATTATCTTGTGTCACATAAATATATGATAAATTGTAATGACTGCAATGAGTTATTTTATTTTACAGGATACAATTGCGAATAAGTATTAAAATACATATCATTTCATCCCTTACTATCGATCCATTGTATTTGTGTGTCAGACAACTTTAAAAAAATTTCCATTTTTGAAATTCCCTAATGTTCGATTCTTTTTGAATAATTCATGTTGGATCAAACGAAAATGAGTGACATCTTTACTGATAGTACATCTTTTATAGTTTCCATCTATAGTAAAGATTTCAGAGAATTTACTTTCATAAATGAGGAGATATAGATATTACAATGTAAAAAAGATAAAATTCCGTAATGCTTGATCATGAACGTAAGCGACTTTTGAACCATCTACTATATGAGATTTTATTAACTGAGTACATGCTTGTGCATAGCTATTCGATGATTTGTGCTTCTCAGAAATTTTTTATTGATATTATTCTACAGCTTACACTATTTATTTTTCTCACTTTATTTCGCTCTGAAGACTTTTTTATCTTTTAATGATGCTACTGGAATCACTATGCTATCATGTGCACAGACATACAATAATTACTTAATCGCACATTTATCATGAAACCTCTTATGTACATTGGTTCGTGTTTCTTCAACTGGCTTCCCTCTTTTTTTTTTAGCCTAAATGGCATTCATATAAATGCGTTTTTTTTTGTTAATATTTACCACGGTTTTAGTTTTATGAAAAAAACCTACATAATAAGTTGATAATTGGCAATCACACGAATTCTTTGTAACTAAAAAGTTTCTATTACTTTTG